GCTAAATTGTCCCATAGTGCCCAGGGATGTGCAGGTTAGGGTGGATTGGCCGTGCTAAATTGTCCCGTAGTGTCCAGGGATGTGCAGGTTAGGGTGGATTGGCCGTGCTAAATTGTCCCATAGTGCCCAGCGATGTGTAGACTAGGTGGTTAGCCTTAGGAACTGCATGATTACCAGGAAGAAAGTTGGTGGAGGGATGTGTCTGGTTGGGGTGTTCTTTAGGGGGTTAGTGCAGACTTGATGGGCCAAATGGCCTTTTTCCACACTGTAAGGGATTCTATGATTAAGCTGTACAAGGTGCTGGTGGGACCACGTCTGGAGCACTGTGAACAGTTTTGGTCCCTTATTTAAGGAAAGGTATTATTTCATTGGAGGCAGTTCAGAGAAGGTTCACTAGGATGATCCCTGATATGGAGGGATTGTCTTATGAGCAAAGGTTAAACAGGTTGGGACTGTACTCACTGGAGTTTGGAAGAATGAGAGGGGATCTCATTGAGACATATAGGATCCTTAAGGGGCTTGACAGGGTCAATGCTGAGGAGGATGTTTCCCCCTCATGGAAGGGGTCTGGGACCAGAGGGCACAGTCTCAGAATAAAGGGGCACCAATTTAAGACTGAGATGAGGAGGAATTTCTTTGCTCAGAGGGTTGTGAGTCTTTAAAAATCCTTTGAATGTATTGATAGCCAGTTTCTTTATTAAAACCAGCCATCAGAATTAAGTTTTGGCATAACTTTTGGCCCATCAAATGCGTACTGGTGATTTTCTTCAGGTGACCCATATGGACCAATTCTGCTCTCCAACCTAATCACCAAAGAACGAAGAGCAGTACAGCATAGGAACTGGCCCTTCAGCCCATCAAGACTGTGATGAAACATGCTGCCTTTCTAAACTAAAAACCTTTTGCCTCTATGTGGCCCGTATCCCTCTATTCCCTGCCTATCCATCTATCTGTCAAAATGCCTCCTAAACGTTGCTATTGTATCTGGATCTACTACCTCCTCCGGCAGCGCATTCCAGGCGCTTACCACACTCTGCATAAAATAAAATTACCTCTCATATCTCCTTTGAACTTACCCCCTTTTACCTTAACCTACGCCCCTTAGTAATTGACATTCTACCTTGGTAAAAAGGCTCTGAATATTCATTCTATACGTACATAGAACAAGGAAGAATACAGAGCAGGAACAGGCCCTTCGGCCCTCCAAGGCTGCGCTGCCACATTTTGCCCTTCCATACTAAAACTGTCTTCACTTACAGGATCCATATCCCTCTATTCGCTTCCTAGTCATGTCTTCGTCCTGGTGCTTCTTAAATGCTGCTATAGTGTCTGCTTCCACCATCTCCTCAGGCAGCGCGTTCCAGGCACTCACCACCCTTTGTGTGAAAAACTTATCTCGTGCATCTCTTTTAAACATGTCCCTCACTTTCCCCCCTCCCCCACACCTTGAACCTGCATCCCCCAGTAATTGACCCCTCCACCCTGGGAAAAAGCCTCATACTTTCCACTCTATCCAATCTTTTCACAATCTTATAAACTTCTATTAGGTCACCCCTCAACCTCCCGCGATCCAGTCAAAACAAACCCAACCTCTCTGCATCGCTAAAATGCCCCCATACCAGGAAACATCCTGATAAACCTTTTCTGTACCCTCCCCAAAGCATCCACATCCTTCTGGTAGGGTGGTGACCAGAACTGTACACAATATTCCAAGTGTGGCCTGATTAAAGTTTTATAAAGATGCAGCATAATTAGTCTATCTTCATACTCAATGCCCCTTCCGATTACGGCACGTATGTCATAGACCTTTTTTACTCCCTTATCTAACTGCACTACCACCTTCAGTGATCTGTGGATCTGCACACCCAGATCCGTCTGCATATAAAACGTCTTTTGTAATTGTGTAAACTGCTATCAAGTTTGTCCAAGCTCTAAAGCTCCAACGTTCCCCTTTTTAAAACAATCTCCAACTCCTTTCCAAAATGATTTCTGCGCATTATATCAAACATCATGTGGCGGAGAATTTCTCATTCAGGGCGACACGGTGGCTCAGTGGTTAGCACTGCTGCCTCACAGCGCCAGGGACCTGGGTTCGATCCCACCCTCGGGCAACTGTCTGTGTGGAGTTTGCACATTCGCCCCGTGTCTGCGTGGGTTTCCTCCCACAGTCCAAAGATGTGTACGGTAGGGTGGATTGGCCATGCTAAATTGTCCCATAGTGCCCAGGGATGTGCAGGTTAGGGTGGATTGGCCGTGCTAAATTGTCCCATCGTGCTCGGGGATGTGCAGGTTAG